TAGGTCGAATGCCTTGCTATAATCTATGAAAACTACATGGTATTTTCCTCGTGGGTGTCTTAATGCTTCTTCAATTGCTTCTAGTAGTGCTGTGATGGCTTGTATCGTTGATCTTTGTGGCCGAAACCCAAATTGATTTTCCGGGATAAGTGAGTCTACTGTTGTTGTTAAACGGTCAGTTAGGATTTTGGTCAGTATCTTGAACATTGTGTTTTCTAACGCTACCCCTCGGTAGTTGTTCGGGTCTTCTGGGTCTCCTTTTCCCTTGTACAGTACTTTCATAAGGGATTTTCTCCAAATTTGTGGTATGGATCCAGTTTCGAGGCATCTGTTGTATAGTCCCGTTAGTGGTTTTGCTATAATGTCCTTTGCTTCTTTTATATGTTCATAATATATTCCATCTGGTCCTGCGGCTTTCTTGTTTTGTGTTCTTTTTATAGCTTTTAATACTTCTGCATGTGAGATTGGTTGACATGCCCTGACGTCGTCTGTTCGGGGGCTGCTGGTGGGTGTATTTTGGCTAAGTATCTTGGTGAAATGCTGTTCCCATATCTTTATATTTACTTCTTGTGGCATTTGTTTCTTGGTTGTTTTGGTTGCCACGAACGGGTCTTTCTCGGCTTCTTCGGCTATCATTTTCCCTTCATTTTCGATGTGTTCCGTTTTCTTACTTTTTATCAGTGCTTTGTATCTTTTTCTTTTTTCTGCATATTCTTTTAGTTCGTTGCTATTCTGAGTTTGCCTTGCTCTGTGTAGTGCCTTTATTGTTGCTTTTCTCATATTGTAACATTCTGCATCGAACCATATTTTGGCCTTCCTCTCTTTGGCTGTTGGGGCAGCCTTCTGCAGTATTTCAGTCATCTTCCGTGCGGCATCGTCGATTTCGTTTTGTTCTATTATTTGCATGATGTCCTCTTGCTTTCCCAATATGTATTTTTGGATTCTTCTTGTTTTTTTCAGGGTGCTTGTTTCTGTTTTCATTTGCTGTTCTTTGCCCCCATATTTGAATCTTGTGCTTATCGGTAGGTGTTTCCTTAGTGGTGAAGTTGATGATGTTTTTATTGTTTGTTGTTCTATTTCTATCTCGTTTCCTTTCTTGAACACGAGGTCAATACAGCTGCATCCATTCGGCGCTATGTATGTCATCACATCTGTTCTATTTGCTAGACAGAATCCTTCTTCCTGTAGTAGCTTCGTAACCTCTTGGGTTTTTTTGTCGGGTTTATCAATTCTACAGTTTATATCCCCTGCGAGTATGGCTGGTTTTTTGTGGTCTAGTCTACTGACTGCACTTGCTATCTTCTCTATTGCATCTTCTATGTTGGTTTGGGGTGGAATATATAGACCTATTATTTCTAGGTATGTTGTTGTTATGTGTACCATGTTGTCTTCTTTATACTCCGCTATTTTTTCCCCTATTTTGTTGTTATAAATACATGAGACTCCTCCGCTAGGTCTTCCTTCTTGTTTTTGGACTGCATAACTGTGCGTTGTGTAATATCCTGGTATGGCTGTGTATTCTGTTAGAAAGGTTTCGGTTAATACTATAATGTCATGATTTTGTGTTATTGTATCCGGGGCGTTTTGCATTATTGACTTTAATCCTTCCACATTCCACAGGAGTAGATCCAATGTTCTTTTGCTGTTGGTCGTTTCTTGATTATTGCCGTCCTTAAGCGTTGAGGTCGGTGCCTTGGAATGGTCGTGAGCGAAATCGGAAGCGTTCGACTCGCACTCCTTTGGGCCAGAATTCTGGCGCTTCTACTTCGGATAGTCGATTGAAGTGGAGCCCCAGTCGGAAGGCTTTGCTTCTTCCTCTAGTTTGTATTTCTTCGCATTCAACTCCGTCTGTTATCCCGTTCTTTCTGATATAATTCTTGATTGTGTCTATGTTTGTGTTTTCTCTGAGCCTGCCTACAAAGAGCCAGGCCATTTTTACTGCAGCTTGAAGTTCTTCATCGTCTTCTTTTGTCCCATATAGTGTTGCTTCCCTCCTGGGAGGTGGGGGTGCATTTCTTTTTCTTCTTGTTTCCATTATGATGCTGTCTCTATATGATTTTTTTTGGTGGGTTTTCATCTTATGTTTCTTCCCCTTCGTTGCGGTTGTGGTTGCTCTGCGGCTTTGCTGGGGGATTTGTGGCTCCGGTATTTTCCGTCCTTGGTTCCGGGTTTTTGAGCTTTTCCAGTTCAGCGGGTAGGGTGTTTACTATCTCTTCTCGGATTTTTTTCTGAAGGTCGTTCTCCATGAAGTTAAGCATTTCTTGTACTTTCTCTGCCAGTTTTATGATGGGTTCTTCTTCACTATTTTGCTTTCGCGTAATTTGCATTTTGCATTTGCTGCACAGCCATGTTAGCTTGCAGTTTTTTCTTTTCACCGTCTCGAATTCGCCTTTGGTTAGTCCACTGCATTCCCAGTGCTGCCATCTGCCACAGAATTCGCACGCTATGGCGTTGTCGTCGTCTTTTACTTCCTTCCGACAGATGTCACATGTTTCTGTTTCTGGATTTCCTGGTGTAGGTATCATGTTGGTGTATAGTGTGCGCCCTCTGTGGTTGTTGTTTCTGTTTTATACGTCACTTCCGTTTTCTCTAAAATCGGCTTTCTTCTGCTTAACCACGTGCTGTGTCTTTTTCCTGGCACTTTTTGTGTGATGGCGTCTGACCCACTTTTACGAACACTTCCCCGGGGTTTTCTCTCTTCTGATTTCGCTAATGCAGCTCTCCTTTTAAATAATTTCCACTTATTTGGCTGTTTTATTTAGATAACACGACTGTCACTACACTACACTCCAACTGCCATACAACCGTAACTACTGCCTCTACTGCTGAGCTGCTGAGTATTATTAGTACTACATGTACGAGTACACCACCCCGTTCAATGCTCTCTGTCCTCTGTGTGTCCGGTGACCACGAGTGAACACCAACCTAACAAGTAGAACAAACCCTTGCTGCAGCTTCGGTAACAGCAGTACGTAGTTAGTGGAAGTGTGTAAGTTGTGGTTATTCTTTAGCGTTCTTTAGGGAATCCTAAGGATCGTTGGAGAGAAATTCAGTTTCCTCATATTTTGACAAATTATGGTGTTCCTGATATTATTGCGCTGTTGCAAGTTCTAGTTGGGATTCTGATAATCTTCGTAACGCCCGCTCTGAGGGGGATATTTCTAGTACAATCCACAGTTTTACTGTTTTATGCCCTTTCTCGCCTGTTACACATGAAGTCGTGGGAGCTGAGGGTCAATATTGAATTTGTTGAAGATGCAGGGCACACAAATACGTTTTTGCTGCTCTGCAATGTAAATTTGTAGGGTAGGTTGCTGTTTCTAGGACGTAACTCCGTGAAGTCTGGTAGACAGTTACGGACGTTTTGGAAGCAAGAGGTTCGCTCAAAATGGGTGAACTAGCTGCCTTCAAAACTGGGCAGCAATGTGTTAAACTACACAACTTGTAATAAGACACTAAGCTTCATAATCTCTGCCAGCCTCTACTGTGAGAAGAAAGAAATCCATGTCAGTGTGTGTTTGTTCACAATAATTAGTATGTTTCCTCACAGAAATGGGCAAATATTCAGAGCTAGGTACAGCTACACTTGTTAGAAATATGATGCTATATCACTAGGATGCTTGTAAATCAACTCATTTGCCACCCACATATAAAATAAAGTTTCAAGGTTATGAAAGATTCTACATTCTCTTGCAACAGGAATGCCGAGAATTCTGCTACAGAGAGCTGAAGAAACATTTCCTGCTGTGACAGAAAGGATGGTGAGTGTTTTGTGCTTGTGTGCTCAGACAAGAATTTTATCATCAGCCAGTTGTCATATCTTGAGAAACTAAATTTTTTATGCCAAGCTTGTGTTATTTTGCATAGTCCATCTGGGGAGTTTACATGGTTCTTCATATTGTAACAATTTGCATTATTATGTGGGAGAGGAGAGTGATATCTGTATGTAAGTAAGTAAGTAAGGAAGGAGTGGGCCATAATAACTGGCACCTGCATTGTGACCTTCAATGATCTATTGTGCTTCCCTTTGGATTAGCCCTTTATTAATCCTACGCTTTTAATAAAGTGTAGGACCCTGCTTATGGGGGCATCATAAAAGTCACTTGGTTCCATAAAAAACTGACCCAAGTGACGAAATCTTAAATAAGCTATGGCCTCACAATCACACAGGTGGCAATGTCTGGTAAGTAATCCTACCAACCATTTTAGTTGATCTCTGTTTAATCTCAACAGAACCTTTGATCTTCAATGATCTATTGTGCTTCCCTTTGGATTAGCCCTTTATTAATCCTACGCTTTTAATAAAGTGTAGGACCCTGCTTATGGGGGCATCATAAAAGTCACTTGGTTCCATAGAAAACAGACCCAAGTGACGTAATCTTAAATAAGCTATGGCCTCATAATCAGACAGGATGTGTGCGGTTGATTTGTTAACGAGTAGGCACCTTTCACAAGTTGGGCTGTCTGTCAGTCCCAATTTGAAAAGGTGTCCTTTCAGGTGGCAGTGTCCGGTAAGTAATCCTACCACCCATTTTAGTGAATCTCTGTTTAATCTCAACAGATCCTTTATTCTTCTGGCAGAAGGCTACTATAAAACCCGTTGCCTGTCAGAGTCCAATTATGGATTCCCAGTATTTTTTATGGTTTCTATCAGTCCAGTCCATGACCCCTTTTTTGGCAACTCCAATTGAGATGCCACAAGCTGGTTCAGGTCCTGTGAACGGCTGTTCAGATCGTGATATGGGTAGGTCATATAGCATGCATGTGAGAATGAGAAATGACAGAAGACCTGAAAGAATGAGACCACGTGGGAGACAACTGTGAAGATGGATTTTGTTAAAGATACAATTATGGGGACTTTGGACTGGGTTTGTTTGTGCCAGGATGCGGGCATGTGTGAACAGAGTAATGAGTGCTTAGGTTCCATAAAGAGCAGATATGTATTGTCTGTACTTCCACAGGGACCACAGGTTTCTCAGGAATGTCCCTACATAATGAACTTAACACTTGCTAAGATTATGAAGTCTGTAGATAAGAAATCTGTACAGAGCAGCTGTTATGGGTTAGATGTAATAAGAAACAGCTACAGCAAGGAGAGGATATATTGTTTCATGTGTGGTGTTCTACAGCCATGACTGATAGAAGATGTGATGCCATTACAGAACTGCACAAATTCAGAGAAGGTTTTAGTGGGTCCATATGGTGAGACGTACCCAGCAAGTCATGATGCAAACCAGGCCATGAATATAAAAGCTGAGGAAGTTTCAGATGCAGAAGAGGAAGCGGATCCTCTGCAAATAACAGTTCAGGAGATAAAGGCTGAACCTGAGGTGAGCTGTATGCTTCTGTATGTCCATTGTTAGGCAGAGAGGCAGGGATTCCAGTTGTCTATCTCATCTCCGTCTGTCTGGCTGGCTGTCTGTGCACATAGAACAGCTCCACTGTGCTGCTAGCCTTTGAAGGCCTTTTTCTGAAGTGTCTCTAGACAGTTGTAGTTTGTTGAATGTATGCTGCTTGTGATATACCATTTCCATTTCCTTTTAAGAAGTTCTGATGCAGATAAAATTAAATTTTGCATAAAAGGAACAGTGTTTGAGAGAAATTCTGTTGCAGCAAAAATCCGTAGGGAGTCACAGATCTGTTCACAGTTAGTTAACACATGTTAGACCCAAGAATTCAAATTACTAGAACTCTTGTGAGCTAATTCCAATGAATCCCACAAGATATTTTTCATGTGATGAAGGTTACAAAAGATTCTGCATTCTCTTGCAACAGTAGTGGAAAGAATTGTACTGAATGGAGCTGAAGAAACATTTCATGCTGTGATAGAAAGTATTGTGTTTCATGCTTGTGTGCACAGACAAGAGTTTTATTTTCATATATCAGTTCTCTTCGTCAAAGAAACTAAATATTTTGTGACCCGCTTCTGTTTGTTTGCATAATCCATGTGGGGAGTTCCTTACACTTGGGTGATAATGATTTGCGATATTATGTAGGAGAGCAATGAGTTCAAGGAGAGAGATGTGGGTAAGTCATGTAGTGCACATGCAACAGTGAGAAATGCATACAAAGAGAAGAAAACCACTTGGGAGACCTGAGTGCAAATGGAAAGTTGCTATTAACACTTTGTGGACCACGCACCCTTTAAAAGGTTTTTCACTTTTAAACATGGCAGACCGTTCGTGTGTTAACAGGTTTTTAAAACACAATAAGTTGCAACACACTATACATCTCTCTGGCTCCACCTATCTAGCACTTAGCTGCTTGCAACTGCGTTATAAGGCTCTGGAATGTCTGCTGACCAATCAGTTACTAGACCTCTCTGTAACTCTATGCCCCTGCAAAGGAAAATAAATGCCAAATTGTCAATGAATAATCCGTCGAGTGTAACAACGTTCTTAGGTCACTTATTTATTTCACTCGCCTTACATGTTTCGGTTCAAAAGAAACCATCATCAGAGGCACGTTACAAACACATGACTGGCGTTG